TTGAACACCTAAAGACAGCTTGGAAACTTTTGAACAGATTCCTCCTCCCTCCATTGGACCAGCACCCACTGAGCATGCTTTAGATGTGCTATTTAAAAGTAATTAGAAATGATAAGAATAATTCTAACATTTATGACTTCTTTACAAATCTGTTAATTACTTTACAAAAGCATTTTATTTGATGAAAAAGATGTATCTCAACATACTTGGTTAATGTGATATAACTAACAACTGCATATATTTGACTTTTGACTCAAAAGAAAAAGTCTTTAAGCTAAGAAACAAGCAATTTAGCTTATTCAATGCCCTGGTTGTTTAAGTACATCTGGCAAACTCCACCATCACTAATTAAAAACCAATGTCTGTTATGAAGAGAATGAAGTATTTAAGCTTAGTGTTGTACTTCTAGGGAAGTTGGTAATCTTTTTTACTGCCATTTACACATGCTGATGTTTATGTCTACAAACTTCTAAATATTTTATTAATAGAATATATATCAAATAAACAGATCTGCAAAGAAGTAAACAATTTTACAAACCCTTACTTTTTTATTTTTTGCTAAACTGATCACCTAGTTCTTTTACTATAGTTTTATGGAAATTTAAAAATCTCTAAGAGTGAAAAATAAATTGGTGTTCATTGATACTGATTGCTTCATATCTCATAAGGCTTAGGCTGCATTTATTTTTTTTTTTTTCAGATTGGAATAGATTTCATGCATTCTACCCATTCTACATTTTTAAATAATTTAACCTGATGTTATGCAAACTAAATTTTAAAAAAGAATTATCATAACTAAAGTAGATTCTGAATCCTCAAAGTTAATACAAATCTGTTTACCTGGCTACTATCTGTTTTTGTCAACATTGGTGCTTTGTTTGAAGGGACATTATTTTGGTTTGCTGGAGGAGAACTCAGACGAGAACCAGGCTCAAATTTGTATACCAGGCTACTTTCTGTCTTTGCCAACACTGATGCATTGTTTGAAAGGACATTATTTTGGTTGGCAGGAGGAGGTAGAGAACTGAGGCAAGAACCAGGCTTTTTAAAAGTAAATCTGTACAAAACAAAACAAAACTTAATGACAATATGAACACATTCTGATAATGTTTGAAATTATTCTGTGACAACCTTGCTAAGCCTAATGTCTTTGGTCCTCTTCTGCCATGGAAACTTAAATTGTTTTTACATAATCCACACATATAAATAATTACTATATATATATAGTCTTACACTTACACATATATAATATAATATATATATAAATGTCTTTAACTTTGCCTCAATAGTCTACTTACCCTTTAAAAACAGTTTTATTTGAAGTCATTTTGATGAAGTGCCAATAATCATATCTGAGTAAGTAAAATGTTATATATATTTATATATATATATATATTTTTACTGATTTATTGATTGATATATAGACCTATACTATATAATGTATAGTCTACAGTATATATATAATTATATAATATATATATATTATATAGAACTAATATATTTATATATAATATATATATTATATAGAACTAATATATATATATATATAATTATATTATTATAATAGATGATACTACTAGATCTACGACACTCCTAGACGACATAGTAATATTCATATGCAGTATATGAGTATTATATATATATAGATCTATATATATATTATAATAATTAATATACTTAATTATACTAGTCCTAGCTAGGCTCTACAGTACACGACTACAGACTAGATTAGTAATTAGTAGATTAGTCTAAGACTAAGTCTAGAGCTGTAGATCTAGATCTATCACCTAGATTCTAGACCTGCCTAGTCTAGATCTCGACAATAAATATAGATCTAGTTTAGAATCTAAGCTTTACTTGGTCAATTTAGTAGTTTTCCTTTTTTGTTTATTACCGCCGAGTCGGAAATGCCAAGTACTAGATCTAGATCTAGACTCTCACAGACCTATATATAAAAATATAAACAGATGAGAGAGAGAGAGAAAGAGATGAATACACAGTAGGCCTACCCAGTGGCGTCAGTAGGAGATGCGGGGTTGAGGTGGGTGACACCCACCTGATGGAAAAAATGCACTTTTCCAAAAATGCAGCTTTTGAAAGTAAAAATTGCTCAGCCTCTACGTATCGAAGCGTAAGTGGCTGTTGGGACAATGATTGTATTAAGTAGGTGAATTTTGATCTTCAGGCTAATTGATCTATTTTTTCAGATAGGCCATACTTTTTGAAAAACGGTTCCTGCTTTCCCATTCGACATGCAAAACATTGCTTGTGATAACACTGCCTAAATAGGTTAACATTAACATGTATTTCTATTAGAGATTATTGAACATTCCTTACGGAAACAGTTTTACATTATACTAGTGTTACTCAGCTGCTAACGAAAGGGCAATTCAAGCATTGAACAGATTTTGGAAGATTTTGCTGGCCATAAAGTAAATAGACTGTGTCCAACTGATTTTAATAACCTGGTCAGCTAGACATACACATGACCACTACAGTGTACTGTACGTGTGTTGTCGATAATACTGTAAGACTACCCTGCATTAAGCGTTATACAATAGTGTTTGCTTAATGCGGAGTGGTCAGACAAGAAAATAACACACTGGCGTGGCTAGTCAAGCATGTTCGTATATATATCTATACACTAAAATAGTTATACACCCTCCCTGCTCCAAAAGTAAATAGACTGTGTCCAACTGATTTTAACAGCCTGGCCAGATAGACGTACACGTGTAGGTCTATATAGTGTACTGAGTCTATATAGTGATAATAGTGTACTGGTCGTGCGGTTTGCGCGCTGGACTGTCGTTCGTTTTTTTCGACGGTCGAGGGTTCAAACCCTGCCCGCTCCCATCCTCCGTCGTCCTGCGGGAGGTTTGGACTAGGAAGTAAACTATCTTCAACTCTGAAGGAACATCCGAAACATGTAAAACATTTTACAAACAAACATTTACTGAGTGTGTAGTCCATAATGACAAGACCACCTGTTTTTTTTTCCCCTTGCGCGTTTAACGGTTATGCAATAGTGTTAGTAGTATTTTTAGTGGTCAGACAAGAAAATAGCACATCAGCATGGTTAGTCCAGCATGTATTGTACACTATAAAATAGTTCTACAGGTCAAATGTTTTAAAAACTCCAACGATTTCGTTTCTATTTGTTTGTTTGACATGTTTCGGATGTTCCTTCAGAGTTGAAGATAGTTTACTTCCTAGTCCAAACCTCCCGCAGGACGACGGGGAATGGTAGCAGGCAGGGTTTGAACCCTCGACCGTCGATAAATCTGAACGACAGTCCAGCGCGCAAACCGCACGACCAGGCAGCCATCTTTGGATACTAGATCTAAATTTGACATTCTAAATCTATGTTATTCAATTGAGATTTTAAACTTTACCAGTATAAGTAAAATTTTCCGTTATATAATAAGTTAATATAAATTTTTTAAAAAAGAGTACCACTGATTTCTAAAGGTTTTAATTCAAGGCAAAAATACAAGCACACATATTTATTTAGACATTTTATTTTAGTGTGCATTAACGTTTATGTAAGAAACATATTCCTTAATACTGATTTTATTATAGATAAATATTACTAGAATGTTAAAAGAATAAGATTGAACCGTTGGCATACAGTCGGATGATTATATCTATATTGGTCTAGTTCAACCCCGTCCCTCCCCTCCCCCCTCCAAAAAGTTTGTTATAGTTTAATTTTTTTTTAGTTTAGTTTAACTATCTTTTGAAATTCATGATAAACTAATAGTTTAACTACTTTATTTTATTTGAAAACTAGTTTTATTTTAACTTTTAAAAATTAGTTTAGTTCCCATCACTAACTAGTAACACCAGTATCAAATGTAAAATACAGCAACACCTATATACGTACAATGGCTACCACATCCAAAACAATAATATTCGAAACAATGAATAGGCTATAACTTGCTCGTGATGATTCTTGAAGTTTGAAATTGCCCTTATTAGTCACAAATCTAGCCATTTAAATGTTGGTGTAGCCGACCTAATCTCATATTGCTATATACAGATGCCTTCAATCAGGGCCTGCCTTACGCAACCGCCTATTAGGGCCTCCAATTGGTGGAGGCCTCAAAACATTTTTTAGATAAGAAATAGCGATACTTGTCCCCCAATGTTCTTGTTGGAGTAGGCCTACACTAGAATGTAAATTACTTGGGTAATTTTATTTCTTCAATGTTTATTTTCTATTTCATTAGAGGCCACCAAATTCACATCGCCTAGGGTCTCCTATTATTTAAGGCTGACCCTGACTTCATTTTAAGAAGACACAATGGCTTACTTATATCTTTGGCGACTCAATAAAATCCAAGAAAAGATAATTTACAGCATGCTGGCGAGCTTATATCTAGGTCGACATTGTTAAATTATTAACCTAGCAATTTGAATTTTAACTTCTATATTTTTTTGTTTATTGGTGCAGTGTAAATCCTATAAATTGCAGATGTTCCTTCATAAAGAAGATAATTACGCCCTATGCGTAAATCTAGTTGTGCACGTACCCGAAACTGGTCAAAAGTAGAGTTACTGTTAGCATTACCTTCAACATTAATGGTTTAAACTGGATTTGATGTTTAATAAGTAGGTTTACCCCAAAGGGAGGGGGGGGGGGGGGAAGCATAAGCAAAGAAATAAACTGGATGTGGCCACTAAAGGAAACCTTAGCCTTGCTTCCAATACATTAAAGCCTGACATTTATAATATTGTCAACTAGCATAATGCTCTAGGTTCACATAAGGCAAAATTCATTTTATAGTGAATTCCTATTAAATATGAAACTTAATTTTGAAATTAAAACTAATAAGTTTAATAATTTAACAAAGGAACAATCTCCTAACAGACAAAATACAATTGTATTGACTATGAAAGTAATTTTTGTGTCTAAATAGGTGTAAGTTATTTTTACTTTTTTTTTAAAATAATAGTTTTAAAATTTACTGTTAGTTACAATGATAACAATGTGAAAATTAATACAGAAATGCTCTTTTATTTAAAATTCCACATGTTATTACTACCATTTGTAGGCCTATGTATCCTGGAAGTGGAGGGTAGTCATATAATGTTGATAATTCAGTCTGCTAGATGAAGAACAAACAAATTTTTTCCAGATGGAAGAGAGAAAATGTACAAGCATCAATAAAAAAAAAGTATAAACCAAAAGTCAATTGGATGCCAAGCCTGAAAAAATTAAATATGATCTTTGGAAAGTATACAAGGCACTTGTTTTGATCAAACAGAAAATGTTAATCTTTCTTAGAAAACTTTTTTTTGCCCCCATGCATTTCTAGTTGGGATAGTTCTATCAATGTACTCTGTACCATTGAAAAAAAAAAAAAAGGAACCATAAATGTTGATAAAAGATTTTTTAATTATGCACTAACCCCCCCCCTCCCCTCCCAAGCTAGCTAACAAAAATCAACAAAGCATATATTTCTGTAAAAAAAAATCAACAATGAACTTGGCTGCTAATGTTGAAGAACTAATAATTTTTTTTTTAAACTCAGAGAAATATATGTATGAAATATTAGTTTGATATGTAATTTAGTTTTTTACACCATAATCCATCGTTAGTTGAGCTGAAAATATAAACCAAACTAAAGAGGAAACTAAGAAAAAGAGTAATGATAAAATTTTTTATAATGCCAAATTGGATCTGAAAATATTGTCATCTGTATATAAGTTGTGATAACATTTTTTATAATGCCACATTGCATTTGAAACTTTCTCATCTGCTGCTCAATCTGCAGAAATATCATCTGGCTCATCTTTGATTGTGGAAAGTTTTCGGGGAAGAGGCTTTGGTTTCACGTCTGGACCTGGAATGAATAAGAGATATTTTTTGGGGGAAAAGATTTAAATAGAGCTTTCTATGTTACACCTGCATATATATTTCCCTCTATCACTATATATATTTAAATATTTTGACTAAACGTGTTTAGATTATTAATTGACCGTGTTTAGATTATTAATTGACCCCATTGTATTTGGTTCCAAAGATTAAGGATGAGTGCATTATTTTATGTGACCCCACAAACCAAGTTGCATATCTTATCTTATAGACGTTACTTCAAAAAAGAAGATGATTACGTTCTATGCATAATGCATTTAGTCATGTGTATTAACCAATGACCTGAATTCTGCTAAGTCACTGTGGCAGATCTGATGCAGACAAAGCTAACTTCCACTTCTTTTTTGTTCTTGTCTGTACTGTCATAGGTAGGAGCTTCTTTTTGTTTTGAACAGTGTTCCATGACCTTCGTAAGAGCTCAACACCTGTCTTTTTTCAGGTGCTATCTGGTTTCCTCTAAACAAGATAGGGCTAAATTATCTGTATTTCGCTTTTAGAGGTGGGGGCACCTCTGTCATCTTTCTTTAAGTGTGTCAAAAAAGTTGGCATTTGGCATGCCATCATGCCCCATTCAGGACAGGTATCTGAATCAGCACAGCTGTTGAATGATTAGAGCTTCTATTCTACACAAACTGGTTTCTAACAGAACAGGGTTATTTGTAAGGTAGTCTTACCAGCATATGTCCAATATGAGCAATGGCAAATTTTTGATGAAGGGTTCAAAGAGCCTTTATGAATTCTATAGTGTTGAAAACTACTGCTCTATAGACAATGACTTTTGTTGATAGATGGAGAGACCTATTCCCCCATATTCTCATTTGGAGATTACGAAAAGCACTGTTAGCATTAGGAAGACTGCTGTTTATTTCTCATTGGAGAACAACATTTTTGGAGATGAGTTACTAACTGTAAATGTAATAGCTTATTTATAGCAGAAATACATTAATCAATTTCACTTTTTCCCCACGACAGTTAGACTATTGAGTCACCACAAAGATCTTGCAACCAGTTCTCAGCATTCAAATCGATGAATGTTTATTAAAAGGATGCAGGCCAAAGATAATGACTTTAAAATCAATAAGTCATGTGAACTAAAGAAACAACAGCTCAAATTTGTTATAGACAACATTCACTTTTTTTTTTACAATAATCTAACTAAATTGATCTTAAAAAATATAGAAAATAAATGATTTCAGAATAAAACTTATAATTTTGTGTAAAAACAAAAGCTCTTTATTATTGTCACAGTCTCAGTTGACATTGCCTGATTTAATGTTCACGTCATGTTAAGAGATTAAAAGACACATGGAATTCCTGATGTAGAAAACAGGAAGTAGGATGAATAAAGTTGACTTTGAGTTCAGTCAAGTGGTATCCTTTAGACCGGGAGGTCAAGCAGATATTTTGGTCCGGAATGGACAGTAGCAACTTAAAAAAGTCGAATAGTAATTTCAGTTAGATAGTAACTTTTGGGCAGTTGATGCCAGTGGTCTTTTTGAGACATGTATTTCTAGTATTATTCTGGATTATTCTGTACAGTGTTACCCGCTGAGATGCGGACGTGATTTGTAGTATACTCTGGAGAGTTTAATGTATTGGATATTTTTGATACCGCTGTTATAGAATTTTCTTGACTTGTAGCACTAACAAGGAGTGCAGTATTATTATTGCTGTTGTCAAATAAACTTTATATTTGTCTGCTGAAATGGACTTAAGTCAATTTGTGGTATATATGTTTGTCACGTGTCAAGAGTACTCCAAGAAGCACGAACCCAGCATTCTACTCATTCGCGACACAGTAGAAGTGACCAGTCCCTCTATAGTCACACTATATCAACGCCACGTCTCTAAACCTTACATTTACAATCATAGACCTTACCCTGCCTGGCTTGTATTCGTTTAAATGTTCGCCCCAGCTCAGAGTCTTCATCAAATGTGGGTTCATCTAAACCAATCAAATCATCTTCACTCCGAGCCTTTTTCATTTTACCCTGATGATAAAAGTTAATTAATAGTTATCCATTGAATGGCATTCATGTCCGAGAAATTAAGCATGGCAAAAATAAATTTTGCATTGTAATATTTCTTGGCCAGTTATTTTAAACAACAAGAAATTAAAAGGAAACAATATATAAATTACAATAATATGAGAGTTTCTCAAAATATTTTATACAATGCGAGGAAAGACGAAAAAAACATGTCACTAAGAAAAGTGAAGAATATAAAAAAGTTTTCAAAAATGAAATAGAAATGTTTCTTTTTTTAAGATATTCTAAGTCTTAAATCTTTATCTTAAATATAATGAACTTTTACAATGACGATTTTAAAAATTGAAATAAATTTTTATTTTTTTATTTAACTATTCGAGTACTTTCTTTTAAATAAGAATATTTTGATGAAATAAAAACCTTCAATTTTAAAATGTTAGATGAACACATTATGATTCCTCTTTTTTAAACTATTTAAAAAAAAAAAATAAGTACATTCAAAATTCATACCAGAATGCTTTGAAGTTCGCTCATGGCACTTGTTTCCTCTTCTTCTGGGCAAGATTGCTAAAAAAAAAAAAACAACAAACAAAACAGTATTTCAGTATTAATTTCAGACTGTATTTTGTATTTTAAACTTCACATAGCTTAATTTTTTACCATTGCCTCAATATGCTTCATTATTCTTCAAAGCGTCGAACAGTCATTAAAACAATGTTTTTGAAAGCCCACCAGTAGAATATTACTTACAGTTCTCTTCTTAAGGACTGGTCTAAGACTTATGTTTCCTGACTGGATACGTTTCATCATCTCATCCACAGCTTTGGAGTAGTCCACATTCACAGCCGCACCACCTAATTGTACTGCAGGAACACAATTCAAAACAATCAAGTAACATATCAAAGATTTAAAAAAACAAACAGTAAAAATAAAACTAGTATAGATAATGATATACAAATTTACAGTAATTATCAAATATTGATGTAGTAATTATAATTAATTCCATAAAAGCTTGTATATTTTAGTATAAGATTTAAATAAATGTAGTTTAAAATAAAAATTTATGAAACGCATAAAAAACTATTAACAAAATTGACATACAAAAAATAAAAAATTAATTATAATGATTTTTATTTGTGTTGAGGCTGGAATACAATATAATGAATTAATAAATAGCTTCATATTACATCCTATGCATTTAAGACTCACATCGTTTTTGGGCTATTTCTCTTTGTTTTTTACGTCCACCACCAGTAATTCTGGACAAGAAACTGAAACAGGATAAATTAACATAGTGAGCTCACAAAACAGGATGGATCAGTGAGCTTATGAAACAGTAGTAATTAGCATAGTGAGGTCATGAAACAGGATGAGTTAACTTAGTAAGCTAGTGAAGCAGGATGAATCAACTTAGTTTGTGTAAATTAACTGTTAAATTAACTTAACATAAAAAGCTATGTTGTGATTATGCTATTTATCTTGCCATCTTTTTTAAGAATCCACCTTAAGCAGTGAAGGTGGAAGATATTTAGCTTTATTTTTTCCTGCCATGAGTAGGTGGATCCTGTTTCACTTTCATATAAAAGGGCATTGATATTTGTAGTAAGCAAGGTATTGTCCCACACTCTTTTCTACAGCCATGACATGATGTCTTTATTCAGCCGAACGTTTTGAACTAGTATTTTGGTTAGTAGTTGTGATTATGCCATACACAAAAACAAAAGTCAAAGGTTATGTAAACATCAAGATAAATTATTCTGTACCTGCCAGGTTTACTCATCTGTGGAGGTGGAGGTGGTGGTGGAGGAGGGGGAGCAACAGCACGTTCATATTTGCTTTCCAGCTCTTCATCTACAACAAAAATTGTAGTTTCAGTTAAACATAAGATTTTTTAAAAAAAGTAAAAGATTCTAGGTACTGGAAAGTACTGTTTAAGGTTTAAAAAAACACAAGTAAATTAATAATGAAACATTTTCCCTATCTATATTATTGAAACATAAATTGAGTGGAGAAAAACAAACAAACATTTCTTCATCAGTAATGAATACTGTGCTCTCAGCTGCTCAGAATTTTTTTCTGACTCTGAAAGCCTTTGTAGTAGAGCATCTCTTTCTTGAGCAAGTGAAGAATTTTCATTTTCTAACATTTGAGCCGCAGAAGAATTATTTTCAGCAGCAAGTTGTTCTTCTAGAATTTGTATCTGTTTATGAGAAGAGACCAATAAATGATAATGATTAATGTAAAAAGTGGGAACTTTTCTATTATTGTAAATTAATTGAAACAATCACATGTAATGTGCATGACAGTGACATAGTGGCTATAATTATAATCCCCCTCACAACTGTATTGCACGAACTCATACTACATCTTGCAGCCTTTTAATAATTTAGAACAAGTTCACCCCAAAATTTGATAAAATTAATGTGCCATTAACAAAAAAATTAACTGCACTTGATATAACCCAATGAAAAGATTTTGTAACATAAGGCTTAATCAACTGGAGCTCTCTTA